CGACATTCCATTCGTACACTTAGGGGGGTAAAGGTGTGAATTTTTCCTAATATATTCACACGTTTACCCCCCTAAGTGTACGAATGGAATGTCGCTCACCTGCAGGTGAGCGACATTCACACACTTGCATTTCCAGTGTGAACCCTCTTGAAACTTGTGATATTCGGCCTATATTGACCCACAAGAGAAACTACTTGGTATTACTTTGCTGTACATTTACAAGAAAAGAGTAGTTAGTTTTGTTAGCAACACATTCCGTTCGTATTTTTGTCAAAATACAGCATGACTCCCAACAATTTTTTTTCATAGTATCATATATGATACTTGGAAAATTAACGCAGATTAAGAAGAGGATTAATTGAGAAATCAATTAGCTTCATATCATTCGTCATGATTAATTCAAACCATTTTCCTCTTTTTCAGAAACTACAAGTAACACTGTATTTACGGCCGTATTCATCAAGTCTTGTCACATCAACTTAACTTCTTGACGGGAAAATGGAATCTAATGAAGCTCCATTCTTGTGCGTCGTATGTGAAAAAGACTTCAAAGGAAATGATGAACTCGAGGCTCATCTCAGAACTCACGTTAAAGCAAAATCGTTTGACTGTTCTGTGTGCTATAGAAAATGTTTGACAGCTGATCAGCTCCGTGTTCATTTTCGAACCCACACTGGAGAAAAGCCGTATCAGTGCACCATATGCTCCAAGGCATTTGCTCAATGTGGAGTACTGCAAAGACATGTCCTGACCCACACTGGCGAAAAACCGTTTGAGTGTGTGGTGTGCAACAAGAAATTATCTTCTAGTAGAAGTCTGCAATCACATCTCGGCACCCACACAGGAGAAAAGCCTTTTGAGTGTGCTCTGTGCAGTAAAAGATTTGCTCGGGGTACCGGCTTGCGTTGTCACCTCCGAACCCACACAGGGGAGAAACCCTTTGAGTGTAGTGTGTGCAACAAATTTTTTTCAGATGGTGGGAATCTACGTTCGCACCTGAGAACCCACTCACATAATGAGAGTGTCAAATGCTCTGTTTGCAACAAGAAATTTTCAACAGAATATAGTTTGCGTCAACATCTCCGAACCCACATAGGAGAGAAAAGCTATGAGTGTAGTCTGTGCAACAAGAAATTTTTAACAAGTGATTATTTGCGTAGACATACCCTTATCCACATACATGTGAAGCCTTTTGAGTGCACCCTGTGCTCCAAGAATTTTGCCAGAAAAATTTGTCTTCGAAAGCATCTTCAAACCCACACTGGAGAAAGGCCGTTTAAATGCAGCGTGTGTGAGAAGACTTTTACACAGAGAAGCAATTTCCTCGTTCATTTTCGAGCTGTGCATTCGGGTGAAAAGCCTCATAAATGTACGGTGTGTAACAAGAATTTTGCGAGGACTGATGACTTGCAAAGGCATCTGCAAACCCACACAGGCGAAAAGCCTTTCGAATGCAACGTTTGCAGCAAGAAGTTTCCCAGAATTTCTGCGCTGCGTGTCCATCTCAGAACCCACACCGGAGTAAAGCCTTTTGAGTGCACCGTATGTAACAAAACATTTTCGCACAGTGGGGGTCTTCGTTCCCATCTGCGAACCCACACCGGAGAACAACCTTACAAATGTAACGTATGTAACAAAGCATTTTCGCACAGTAACGGTCTACGTTCCCATCTGCGAACCCACACCGGAGAAAAACCTTACAAGTGTAACGTATGTAACAAAGCATTTTCGCAAGGTGAGGGCCTGCGGGTTCATCTTCGAACTCACACCGGAGAAAAGCCTTACGAGTGTAACTTTTGTAGTAAAACCTTTGCACAGAGCGGTGTTCTTGAAAGACATCTCCGAACCCACACAGGAGAGAAACCTTTTCAGTGCAGTGTCTGCCTCAAATCTTTTGCCCAGGATGGAGCGTTGCGAGTGCATCTTCGAACTCACACTGGGGGAGAGATCTTCGAGTGCTCCCAGTGCCCGAAAACGTTTATGTCGAAGAATGGTCTTCATAGTCATGTTCTTGTGATTCATAGGGAAGAAAAACCTTTCAAATGTAGTTTATGTGACAAAAAATATGCGATTAAGCATAATTTGCGTCGTCATTTCCAAACTCACACTAAAACTGGAGAGAAGCCTTACGAATGCTCTGTTTGCAAAAGAAAATTTGCGGCTAAGGGAAATTTAACAACACATTCCAGAACTCACACGAATGAAAAGCCTTTTGAATGCAACGTGTGCATCAAGAAGTTTTCTAGAGCTGAACATCTGCAACTTCACCTCAGAACACACACGGGAGAAAAGCCGTATGAGTGTAATATTTGCAAAAAGACTTTTGCAATTAAAGGTAATATGATAAAACACTTCCGAGCACACTCCGGAGGAAATAAGCGTTTTCACTGCACTCAGTGTGACAAAACATTTTCGCAAGCTTCTGGACTGAAAATACATCTTAGAAAACACACAGGAGAAAAGCCTTTTACGTGCACTGTTTGTCACAAAAACTTTGCTCAAAGTAGTGCACTTAAAACACACTTGAGAACACACACTGGAGAAAAGCCCTTTGAGTGTACCCATTGCGCTAAGCACTTTTCTACAAGTGGTAGTCTGGCGCTTCATTTACGAACCCATACTGGGGAAAAGCCTTTCCAGTGTACTATGTGCCCACAGAAATTTACCGGGAAAAGTGAAATGCGGTTACATATCCGCACACACACCGGAGAAAAACCATATAATTGTTCCGGATGCAGCAAAACGTTTTCATCGAATTCTGGCTTGAAGTCTCATTTGAAAACGCACACAGGCGAAAAGCCTCATCAGTGTAATCAGTGCGACAAGAAATTTGCTACAAGTTTCCAACTGCGTCTTCATTACCGTACCCATACCGGAGAAAAGCCTTTTGAGTGTACTGTGTGCCACAAGAAAAGTGCTACTTCTGGAAACCTGCGCCTTCACCTCCGAACTCATACAGGAGAAAAACCGTACAAGTGTACTGTGTGCGGCAAGACCTTCTCGCAAAGTGCAAGCATGCTAAAGCACCTCCGTTTGCACAGTGCAACATAATCCTCGGACTGTACTGCTTGTTTTTGTCCGGAATGCTCCATCTAATCAAGGAGACGTGTATAATCTTTTGTTTTGCTTCTTATTTTAGTTCTAAACTGTACATATATTGGTGTTGGAAGTTATTCTGCTATACGCCCTTTTGGAGTGATGACTTTCAATAAAATAATCATTAAACATTGTATCTGTCGATGTCGAATTTGTTTTAAGTCCTTTGCTTTTTACTAGGAAAAATATCCTCGTAAATTTACAACATCATTGCGGTCCTTTTTATTTACAAAACATGTAAATTTCTGACAGCCTTTGCTTGTCGCGTGTCGTGTAAATGCCAAGTCGATACAAAGTGCCTGTAAATGTAAATTCATTTAAATAATTTTGCTCGTGAATCTACGTTTATTTTTCCTAGTGTGTTTCTCCCATTTTCCCCAGCAGTGCAGCAGCCGGAGCCCGAGGCCGGTGCAGCCGACAGCGCGCCGTCGTCATAGCGCCGCGCGTATCGCTTCGGGATTGCAGGGAATGGAGATGGAAGAAGTGGGGCCCTCGGCCCTGTATCTGTACGAGTGTACGCATTAGCGTAATGTGTCGATAAACATGCGAGGAGGGGAGCGGGCGAGGCGAGCGATGCGATGGGAAGGGCTTGCGCTGCGGGCCACGCCCCGCCACGCCCCGCCACGCCCCGCCACGCCCCGAGGGCATGGCTGACGATCCCCGCACCGACTTCGCGCTGAAAGAGCTTCGAAAACGCTGGCATAGTCTTGATTTTGGCGCACTTTTCTAGATAAACGTTGAACATTTTGCACGTTTTTGAATCGTTTGCGCTTTAGTAAAAACGACAACATATTTTAGTGGGTATGTGCGCGCGTACTGGCGCTCTTTCGCCGTACCCGAGGCCGTACCCCACTGCTACATCGGATGGTAGACTCGCTCACCGTCACAAAAGTTACCCACAGCCTTCATCCCCATGATAGTAGGACCCACCATCCTTCAATATAGGTCAACTGTGAAAAATACCCTCGTAAACTCACAACGTTTGTTGTAATTTATTGTATTCAAAAAATATGCGTTTAGGGCAGTCACAGAAACGGCAGTTTTGCTGCCTCATTTTGCAATGGCCTCTATGCGAAACCAACACAAAAGTGACCCTTCAACAACTCAGTAGCATCTATATTTTGTTTGCGCAACATTAATCGGTCCAAACCGAAACAAAACAACGACAAAAAAAAAAAAAAACCTTGACAACTTCTTTTCAGATCGTCAGGATGATTGCTAATTGAATGCGACGCTTGCCCGAAAAAGGGAACCCCTCGCTCTGGCGGCGCATATCGCGAGGATTAAAAGCGTGACCCCCTCCCCCTTCCCGCTCCCCTTCTCCCTTTCCCCATTGAGGCCGCCGTCACAGAAGTGTCACGCGCCGTTAGGGAGGTGAGCCGACCCGACAGCGGCTAGGCGGCGGTGCCTTTTGACGCGGCGGCCCGGCCTTTTGGCGGGGGCGGGCGCCATACCACCACCACCACCGACCGGGCCGGGCGGTCAGTTGTGTTGTCACTCAAACGCCCCGCGCAAACGTATGGACGTGTGTGTGTGTGGCCTTAATGCTCGTGGACGTCACACCCCCTGACAGCGCAGTGGAGACCCCTAGCGACGACGTCCGCCCATGGGCTGAACTCGACCCCCCGCCCTCCCCCATCCGGGACCCATCCGGTTGCCCTTTCTCTCCCGCAACTCTCTCTCTGTCTCCCCCTCTCTCTCCCTTCCTCTCTCCCTCTTTCTCTCCCCCTTCCTCCTCTTCTCTCCACCTCTACCTCTCTGTTTGTATTGTCTCACACATGGTCCCGCCGTAACACACCTAAAAGAGCATACATTGTACCGTAGCAACTCGAGTTCCAAGCTCCAATAATGAAACAGGACCCTGAAGCCGTACACTGTACGTAGAAAGTGCAGGTTGTAGAGGACTTACTTCGCGCAAACGGTTTTGTGTCCCTGCGTCCGGCCGGGGTCGACAGGACGGTAAAACACGGGTTGAACATGTAGACCCGTTCACTTCCCTCGGAGCTGGCGACGACATCAGTCTGCTGCTCGGGCCAGACGACAGTCTCGACGAAGGAAACTAGAGCGATGGGATTTTTGCCCCCCGGTTTTTTTTCGGGAGCAGCTCTTCGGGTGAATATGGTTCGGCGGTGTTTGGTTGAGACAGGGACAGTGAGAGACGGAGAGTCGGAGAGTTTCTGACGCAGCCTCCGCGGTCAGTGTAATTGGCTGAAGCCAATTACGAATTTATTTCGTTTGAGTTGTTTCGCCTCATCTGCCTCGTCTGCCGGGCGAAGAAGCGGAGGGACCTCGTCGGCTCTCGCTCTCACTCCGCCCCGGCAGAAATCTCATCCTCGGATTGCTTTTGCGCGACCATCGGGGGTACCTTTAGGCTGCAGTCACAGTTGAAAAACGATTTGCAAACAGCAAAAGCCGAATGCTTCTCAATTGCAAGGACCCGAAGGCCTGCTTGGCGCCTGCCTAGATATTTTAATTTCTCAAAAGTATTTTTTTAAATCGATATAACTGTTTTAAAATGTCTCTTGAAAAATGTAAAATATCTGTTTTTCCAATTTCCCTGGAAACATTTCTTGTTTTCCTAATCTTTGTTTTGGTTTTAAACTTTTCCGGGAAAATTTCGGTCTTTTTTAAAAATTGCTTTGCAGTGCGGCGTTTCGACATGTGAAAGCTGCCGAAATAAGAGGACGTCGTGTCACGTGTTGTAGGCAGGTTCTGGTAAGCGTAGTTGGCGTAACGCCGGTCAAATTTCCCGCGCCGCCCGCGCCACTTTCTTCCTCGTACGGTCCGTCCGTCCGATCGTCCTTTGTCGGCTGCCTCATTACTCTGTCCCCTCGTGTCCCGCGCGCGGTTCAACTTATGGCAGCCGAGTGACGAGTGCGCCTCCCTCTTTCGCCGTCCCTCTGTGTTTCTCTGCCTCTCTTCTGCTCCTTCCTCTCTTTCTGTCCTTCTCTTCCACTTCCTCCCTTTATCTTCTTCCCTTCTCGGAGAAGTTGGACACTGTTGCCTTTGAAGGTCCGGGGTGGGCCGCCCCCCGCCGCCCGCCGCTGCTCTGCGCTACCGGATCCAGTTTCCCAATTGAGTCCCGTCAATTTCCGGAAGAGTAAACACAAACACTCGCGCTGCTGCTGCTGCTGCTGCTGCGACCGCTTGTGTTGTTGCTGCTGCTGCTGTTTCTACCGCGCCTTCGCTACCAATCCTCCTCCCTAACGCTCTCAACTCAAAGCGGGAGCAAATCCCCCCGGCTGGCTCTGGCTGGCAACTTCCGCGCTGGCGTTCCCTCCTCCTGCTCGGTGCGCTCCGGCGGTTCGCTCCAGCCAGGTGGCTGCGGCTGTCGCCGCATTGTGCAGGGGCGCCGTGCCGGTGCAACAAACAGGCAGCCAATCAGCGCGTCTGGCGCCGCCACCAATCAGGCAATTCAAAGAGAATCTCACATTTAGTTTAAAACCAAACTTGGAATTTTAAATTTTCCCGTCAAGTATTTCTGCAAGTTCCTCAACAACAAAAAAATGTTTTAAATGTCCTTACGACGTTTTCTTTTCTTCTGTTTTTCCTGATTTTTAAATTTTTACGAAGATAAATTCTGGCCTTAGAATTCCTATACTTTCAACTAGTGCCAAAATTGTATCGCACTGACAATTTCTTAAGCAGTCCTGCAAAGGTGTGACTTGACTGGGGTGACCTAGCACTTTTGTTTTTCTACTGTAGATGCTCTGTGGTGTATAACACTGAGATTTCGTGCCAAACCGTATTTCGCGTATTCCGGCGTGAAGTGGATTTTACAAAGTCGTGGTGAAGAAGAGCTGCACTGCCAGCTGCAGCGCGGGGGGTACTTTTCTCACATGATGCAAGGGGGGTGTACGTAAGGACGGAGCACGCTGCCGCGCCACCGTAAAGTGTGACGCAACTTGACCTGCCCGAGGCTCCGCTCTACGCGCTGACCCCGCTGGTGAACGAGGTCACGTTGTGGGAGGGAGAGAGGAAGGTGTCGGGTAGGACAGAGAGAGAGAGGGGCGGGGGCGACTTAAGAAAGGGCGGAGGGCGTGGCGAAGCGCATATTATATGGGAGAGGTTAGGTAAGGAAAGTGGGACCCAGGCGACTGGAGGAAGAGAGGGAGAGAGGTATGGGTGGGGTTGAGGG